AAAAAAAAAAAAAAATGCCTTGAAGGCTATGTTAACCAGTTTGATGAAAATATTTCAAGTTGTACATAAAGCCAGCACATTATACCCCATGATTGCGTTGATGTGCACAGCTATGATTTAATAAAAAAAAAAAAGTGGGCTAGGGACATGAGCATTTTTCCTAAAGATGGCATATACATGGCCAATAAATATATGAAGAAATGTTCAACATCACCAATCATCAGAAAAATTCAAGTAGAAACCAGGGGATACCATCTTACTCTAATCAGAATGGGCATTATCAAAGAAATCAAAAAGCATTAATTTTGGCAAGGATGTGGAGGAAAGGGAACGGTTTTGGATACACTTGCTGAGAATGTAAATTAGTCAAGCTCTATGAAAAATATAATGCTATGGAGATTTCTCAAGGAATTAAAATTGATCTACCATTTAATCTCACATCATTCACCTCACGTATTTAATTTTATTTAGACATTTATACTCTACTGTGTATTTACCCGAAGGAAAAGAAATCATCATATCAAAAAGATACCTGCAATGTATGTTTATCTCAGCACTATTCACAATAGCAAAGATACAGAAGCAACCTAAGTGTCCATCAATTAATAAAGAAATGTGATGTGGAATGCTGCTCAGCCATTAAGAATGAAATTGTCATTTTCTTAGCTATTGTGTTAAGACGTTTATATTCTACTTTTAGAAAGATTCACTTGTACCCTTGTAAGATAAACCATAGAGCTGAAGACTATGTTAACTAGTTTGATGAAAATATTTCAAATTGTATATGAAAACACTACACTGTACCCCATGATTGCATTAATATACACAGCTCTGATTTAATAAAAAAAAAAAAGAAAGAAAGAAAAGAAAAGAAAGAAAGAAAAAGAATGAGATCATGTCTTTCACAGCAACATGGATGGAAGTGGAGGCCATTGTTTTAAGTGAAATGACTCAGAAACAAAAAAATCACATATCACATGTTCTCACTTATAAGAGAGAAGTAAATAGTTAGTACACGTGGACATAGAGAATGAATTAATAGACATTGGAAACTCAGAAAGGTGGCATAGTGAGAGAGGGGAGTAGATGAGAAATTACCTAAGTGAGTGAGGGTTACACAAAAAGCCCAGACTTCACCACTGTGCAATAGATTCGTGTAGTGTATCTGCACATGATCCCCATAAATCACTAAAAAAAAAAATTTTTTAAGAAAAAAATACATTTAAAATTCTTTTTTAGAAAATTGAAACTAGGTGAGGTGGTGGATGTGTTTGTGATTATTTCACAATGTTTTCATACATCAAAACACCAAGTTGTATACCTTAAATATATACAATGTTTATTAACTATAACTCAATAAAGCTAGAATCAATTTTAAATGATTTCACTGTAAGAAAAATGAATATGTGAAGTAAAAGATATGTAAATTGATCTCATAATTTCACAAAACATCATATTGTATAACATAAATATATGCAATCACTTGTCAATTAGAAATAATTTAAATAGAAAAATAAAGTGGACTTCGAAGTGTGGTGTGATGCTGGCCAAAGACGTGACATAACATGAGGCACAGACATGTCATTCCTAAAAAAGATTTCATGGAAGAATATACTGCTCTGGAAAGTTAAAGAATAAGTTAAATCAAAAGATATTTCCACAAATAAAAGCCTTTACTGGCATTAAAAAAAAAAAAATTGGAGAGGGTTTGTTTGGAGACAGAAATGCATGGCAGCCTGTAAGTCTCATTCCCCCCAGGAGAGGTCACTTTCAGCCACCTCCCTCAACACTCGCCGCCTTGCAGTTCACACTCTTTTTTTATTATTATTAGATCCTAACTGTGTACATTACTGCATTTATGGGGTACGATGTGCTGATTTTATATACAATTTGGAATGTTTACATCCAACTGGTTAACACATCATTCACCTCACGTATTTAATTTTATTTAGACATTTATACTCTACTATTACTGTATTTGAAAGAAGGAGAAGGAGCAGTTCACACTCTTGCCTTCTCCCCTGCCCGCCAGATCCTGGCCTCCTGCCGCGACACTCTGGCTTTCTGCTGTAAGGAGCGGCTTCAAGTGGTGGACCTCATGAACCAGCCGCTAGACAAAGTTTTGGAGCAGGCCGGCCGCCACTCGTGGGTGAACCTGTCCCGCGTCCCCACCCCACGCACTCAGGGTCAGAAAACGCCACCTCCAGACCCTGTGGGCACCTTTACCCCAGGTAAGCTCCACAGGAAGGAGTCCACTATAGTGGGTGGAATTAGTGCCCACCCAGACCCCGATGACATTTGGTACAACCCATCGCCCACTTAGCTGCCTCCTTCCCTGGGAAGTAGCCCTAAATCAAACGAAAGGGCTGAGGCCAGTGCTTAGCTCAGCCCACGTTCTTGCTTGGCCTTCCCCGCACACGTATGTGAGCGCTCGGTCATTCACAGGCTCTGCTTCTAAGGAAACCAACCCAAGACGCAACTCACACGATCCCCAACACTAACAACCCCCGGGAGAAAGCCCTCCACCACCTGAGAACCGAGACAGGCACACAGACAGCGGGTCTGGGAAAGGAGGGAACGGCACCCCCACGCGCGCCCTATGTGCCCTGTGCGTTCGCAGAGTGCGCCCAGGCGCTGGACGAAGCCAGGCGGTTGTTAGCTGAGTCCAAGGACACCTTAGCAGAAATGGAAAAGAATGAGGTGGACATCCGGAAGCTACAATTGCAGATAAGCGACCGCGTGTGCGCCTCGCTAGCACAGAAGATGCGGGAGACCAGCGAACTGAAGGTGGGCTCTGTACGCGCGGCTGCGGGTAAGGGTGGGAGAGTGCCCAGATGTGAACGGGACTGGGAGACGGAGAGGGGGCGAGAAGCCTGCATGATCACCTGCGCTCCTCCACCTTCAGGAAAGACTAAATATGAGTGTAGGGCTAATGAGGGGGACCATCCACCGGTGCACGAAATTCAAGCAAGAGATGCACATCACCCGCGGCCTCATCAAGGTACGGTTTGGGGAAAGGGTCTGCGGGAGGGGGACAAGGCTGCGGTGCAGGCTGGGCCTCACTGCTCCACCCAACGCATTCCGCCAGGGTCCTCTGTCAAAACATCACCTGGAGACTCGAGAAAAGCTGGACAGACCCCTGGTTCGCGTGTACCAGAGACACGTGGGCACCCAACTCCCCGAGGCTACGCGCCTCGCTCAGGTATGTCCCCTGCCTGTCCCCTTCCACGCTTCCTCAGCCTTTGTGGGTACGGGCCCACCATGGTGCCTTTCCACAATTGGACCAGGTAAGACCCCCGTACCCAGATGTACCTATCCTTCAACCCTTTTCCACGAGGGCCCTTCAATAACCACAGCTGGCTCAGATAGGTCCCCTCAACCCTGTGCGCCCCACAACTCCACACACGCCCCCAGGATACGGTCCCTTCCTCAGTCCTGAGAAGGAGGCTTCTTCTTCGCGCATACTTGCCCACACACGTTCTCCCATCCCACGTCTGCTCCATAGCCCGCCTTGTTGCGGGTTATTTTCAAACACACCTAGCCTAAACCACGCATGTGTGCTTCCTAGCAACCACCCCACCGGAGGCCCGCCCCTCTTCAGCCGCGCTCCTTCCGCACGCACACCTGGCGCAGGTGTGCCCGCCCACCCCGGTTAGCTCCTGGCCCCGCCCCTGCTCGGCACCCTGGTCTCCCAGCACGGCTCCACCTCCCTCTCCAGGGCACTGACAAACTGCAGCGCCACATCTCCAATGTGGAAAAGAACCTAAACGAGCTGCTCACCGTGCAGAAGAACCTCACCTGGAGCTTCAACTGCAAAAAGATTGGGTTCGATGTTGACCACAACGTGGTGCGCCTGCGCCTTCGCCAGCGACATCCGCACGTGTGCTATGAGCAGGCGCAGCGCCTAGTCAGCGACTGGGACCCGCGCACGCCCCCGCGCCGCGACACCAGCGCAGCCGTCAAGTGACCGGCGCTCCCCAAATCCCAGCCTGCGAGTCAGGGCGGTGCTGGGCAGGGTTCTGGGGGGG